AATATATATATGAAAATATATATTAAAATGTTCTCTAAATATTTTCTGCTTCTTGCAGGTCTCTTTTTACTAGATCATGGCCGCTCCTCCCACCTCATCCCTCCAAAAAGAAAACTGTATGGCCCTCCCCACCACGTATAGCCAGGCACCTAACTTGACTTAATTCACAGTGAGAATCTCCTGCAGTAACTTTGTAGAGCCAGTATCTGCAGGTGGAATTTGGGGTTTGAGGGTTCCTGATCCTTTTGTAGTCTTTGTGTGTGGACCAGTCTCACATTTGGCTAGAACCTCAGGATTTTCCCTCTGCCTTTTGTCTTACTTCATGGGACTAGAATACCCTCTGCAGGGAGAATTGTGCACGGTCCTGCTCAGCTCCTCCTCCTTGACCGATGACTTTCCTGTTAAAAGGAACATGGAGTCCACCCACCCTGACCTTTCTTCAAATCCATATCCAGAGCCACTAGCCCAGGAAGAAGCATGGGTGACTCTAGTGTCTTAGCCTGCCAGTCTCCTTCTGTGCTCCTCCCCCTTTCAATTTTACAAGCTTATCAGAGTTTGTATGAGCTCAGCCGATGGGCAAGAAAACCTAGAGGACACTCTAGACTTTAGCCCACCAGTCTTGTTCTGACTAAGCTGCTGAGAGCAAAAACCGGCACCCAATGTCCCTTTGCCTTTCGGGCAGTCATATGGGACCGAGAGTGCCACCACCTGAATATTCAGGCACTGAGTAGTGGGATGTGGGGGATGCTCATGTGACTGGCTAGAGGTGGGGGTGGGAGAGTTACTTTTTTTTTTGTGGCCATGATCTCTTTCCCTTTCCTTTTTTTTTTTTTTTAATTAAATAAATGGATCAAAATTAAATAATTCAAGCCCTGCCTTCAAAATGAATTTTTTTTTTTTTTTTAGTATTGTTTAGCAAAAACAATAAAACCCAAATTTTTTTAACCATCACTTATGTCTCAGGTTTGTGCCTACTTTAGAGGCCCTGAAGGGAAGAAACCCAAGGGGGTGTGTGTTCAGCCTTTCCCTTTAGATTCTGTGCTTCCTGCTCTTTATCTGCTCCCCTTCTATCCCCTGAGGACTCACCCAGAAATACAGTGCTGATCGTCTAAGATGTGGGTCCAGAGTTCAGAGCTGGGTGTAAGTGGAGTAGCAGAATAGAGGGTGGGTGCATACCATTTGCTATGGTGCTGTGTTTGGAGTCAAAATGACCAAAGAGCTGAGAAGTAAACTTCCAAGTAATCCTGCCATTGGTGGAAACTTGATTGCAAGTACTGAGCCTCTGGATTGTGCCTCCATGGGACTTGGAGACGTTTAAAGAAGCTAAGAGGGCAGATACCTTCTCAGGAGATCTAGAAAACCTGAGGTAAGAGTCAAGAAGTCAAAACCCAACTTACTGCCATTGAGTTGATTCAGACTCTTAGCGATCCACAGTAGAACTGTTCTATAAGACGTCTGAGACTAAAAAAAACTTGATGGAAGCAGACTGCCACACTTAGTGCCATAGAGTAGCTGGTGGGTTCAAACTACTGACTTTTGATTAGTATCCCAATGCTTAACCCACTGCACCACCAGGGCTCATTTAATATTAGAAAGCATACCATAGACAAGGAGAGTGAGTTCTGTGACATGTTCAGGGCCCCACAACTTCCTGTAGTGGCAAAGCTGGAACAAAAACTTGGGTTTATTCTGCTGGTGGGCTCTTAATGCTGCGCATGGGTATTTCTAAACGCTGCCATGTGTATGGCGCAGGTTTCAGGTGGAGCGCAGATGGATGCTGTAGAGATACAGAAAGTTCACCTGTACATCGAAAGTTGAAGCTCTGGTGGCGTAGTGGGTCATGCGTTAAATAGACTGTTAACCACATGTTGTTAAGTACCTTTGAGTTGGTTCTGACTCATAGCAACCCTGTATAGGGTGTAGAAGATACACTTGGTCAGTTTGAATCGCTGACCTTGTGGTTCAAAGTGACCTGTGGTCCAGTACATTACCCCACAGTGCTATATCTTGTTGTTGTTGTTGTTGTTAGGTGCCATCGAGTCGGTACCAACTCATAGCGACCTTACACACAGCAGAACGAAACACTGCCCAATCCTGGGCCAACCTCACTACTGTTGCCACGCTTGAGTCCATCGATGCTGCCACTTGGCCAATCCGTCTCGTTGGGAGTCTTCCTCTTTTTCTCTGACCCTCCACCTTCTCAAGCGACTGGTCCCTCCTGATGACAATATGTCTGAATATTGACCATAGACGAAGCTTGGCCATCCTGGCCTCCAAGGAGCATTCTGGCTGCACTTATTCCAAAACGGATCTGTTGATTCTTTTGGCAGCCCATGGCACTTTCAGTATTCTCCTCCAACACCATAACTCAAAAGCATAGGTTATTCTACGGTCTTCCTTAGTCACTGTCCAGCTTTCACATGCATATGAGGTTATTGAAAATGACCATGGCTTGGGTCAGGCGCACCTTAGTCCTCAAGCTGACATCTTTGTTTTCTTTACATTGAGATGTAATCCATACCGAAGGCTGTGCTCTTTGATCTTCATCAGTAAATGTTTTAAGTCCTCTTTCCTTTTCATCTGCATATCATCTGCATATCACAGGTTGTTAATGAGTCTTTCTCCTATCCTGATGCCACGTTTTTCTTCATAGAACCCAGCTTCTCGGATTATTTACTCAGCATACAGGTTGAATAAGTACGGTTAAAGAATACTACCTTGTCGCACACCTTTCTTAATTTTAAACCATTCGGTGTTCCCATGTTCTGTTCAAACAACTGCCTCATGGTCCAGGTACAGATTCCTCATGAGCACAGTTAAGTGTTCTGGAATACTCATACTTCGTAATGTTGTCCATAGCTTGTCATGATCCACACAATCGAAAGCCTTTGCATAATCAATAAAGCACAGGTAAACATCTTTCTGGTATTCTCTGCTTTCAGCCAAGTCCATCAGACATCAACAATGATATCCCTCATTCTGCGGCCTCTTCTGAATCAGGCTTGAACCTCTGGAAAATCTCTGTCAATTTATGCTTGCAGCCATTTTAGTAAACTTTACTTGCATGGAATATCAAAGAGATTGTCCGATGATTTGGATATGGATCTCTTTCAATCAGTTGGCCAGATTGTTGTCTTCCAAATTTCTTAGCAGAGATGCATGAGTGCCTCCTGTGCTTCCTCACTTGAAAGATGTCAGTTTTTATTCCATCAATTCCTGGTGCCTTGTTCTTAGCCAATTCCTTCAGTGCACCTTGGATTTCCTCCTACAGTATCTTTGGTTTTGATCATAAGCTACTTCTTAAAACAGTTGAACATTAACCATTTCCTTTTGGTACAGTGACTCTGAGTATTCCTTCTATCTTCTCTTGATGCTTTCTGCAACATTCAGTAATTTGCCCAGAGAATCTTTCAGTAATGAAAGTCGAGGCTTGTATTTTTTTCTTCAGTTTCCCCAGCTTGAGAAATACTAAGCTTGTTTTTCCTTTTTGGTTTTCTGATTTCAGATCTTTGCACATTTTGTTGTAATATTTGGCTTTATCTTCTTGAGCTGATCTTTGTAATTTTCTGTTCAGCTCTTGTATCTCCTCATTTCTTCCATTTGCTTTAGCATCTACACTGGAGAGCAAGTTTCATTGTCTCTTCTGACATTCATTTTGACCTTTTCTTTCTTTCTTGTCTTCTTGATGACTTTCTGCTTTCTTCATGTGTGATGTTCTTGATGTCATTCCACAACTCTTCTGGTCTTCGGTCTTTAATGTTTAATGTATCAAATCTGTTCTTCAGATGATCTCTAAATTCAGGTGGGATATATTCAAGGTCATATTTTGGCTCTCGTGGACTTCTTTTCATTTTCTTCAGCTTCAGTTTGAATTTGCATATGAGTGATTGATGGTCTGTTCCATAGTCTGTCCCTGGCCTTGTTTTGACTGATGATACGGAACTTTTCCATTGTCTCTTTGCACAGATGTAGTCAGTTTGATTTGTATGTATTCCATCTGGTGAGGTCTATGTGTATAGTCGTCTCTTTCGCTGTCTAAAGAAGGTATTTGAAATGAACAAATCATTGATTTTACAGAATTCTATCATGCCTTCTCCAGCATCATTTCTATCACCAAGACCATATTTTCCAACTACTGATTCTTCCTCTTTGCATTCCAATCACCAGTAATGATCAAATACATCTTGATTGCATGTTTGATCAATTTCATATTGAAGAAGTTGGTAGAATTCTTCTATTTCATCCTCCCTGGCTTTAGTGGTTGGTGTGTAAATTTGAACAATAGTGGTATTAACTGGACTTCCCTGTACGTGCGTGGATATTATCCTATCACAGTGTTGTACCTCATGA